GTCTTGCTCTGTTGCCCAGGCTAAGGTGCAATGGTGCAGTCTCGGCTCACTTCAACCTCAGCCTCCTGGGTTCAAGTGATTCTCCTGCCTCAGCCTCCCAAGTAGCTGGGATTATAGGCACCAGCCACCATGCCCAGCTAATTTTTATATTTTTAGTAGAAACTGTGTTTCACCATCTTGGCCAGTCTGGTCTCAAACTCCTGACCTCTTGATACGCCCACCTCAGCCTCCCAAAGTGCTGGGTTTACAGGCATGAGGCACTGCACCCATAAGCCAAGAACTTTTGAGGCCAGGTACAGTGGCTTATGCCTGTAATCTCAGCACTTTGGGAGGTTGAGGTGGGCAGATCACTTGAGCCTCCGAGTTTGAGACCAGCCTGGGCAACATGGTAAAACCCTGCCTCTACAAAAAATACAAAAATCAGCCAGATGTGGTGGCACACATCTGTAGTCCCACCTACTCAGGAGGCTGAGGTGGGAGAATCAGTTGAGCCCTCCAGGAGGCAGAGGTTGCAGTGAGCCAAGATCATGCCACTGCACTTCAGCCTGGGCAACAAAGTGAGACTCTGTCTCAAAAAAAAAAAAAAATATAACAACCAACTTTTGAAAAGCTCATTTTCTGTCTCTTTCTCCACAGATTCTGATTTAATATAGAACTTAGGAATCTTTAAAAAGTTTTCCACTGCCCTTGGGTCAGTGGTGTCATAAAACAAAAGTAAAGTTTTCCAGATGTTTTTGATAAGTAGCCAGGGCTGAAAAGCACTAACCTATACATGTGGCTCCGTTCTTTTTGGGGGTCTTTGCATGCTTTTCTTTAATCAGATTTCTGCTGTACCTCTGCTCCCCTCTGTGCCTCAGCCAGTACTATTTTGGGTTTCTCAGCTGGAACTCAGGTTGAAAATCACTGGGCTAATCCACATCAGTGAGGCCCAGAAAGATTGTCTTGCTGAAGTCATAACAGTGAGTACCATAACATATTTAAAATTCATGGTTTATATTCCTAACATAGTTCTTGTTTATTGCTCTCCTGTGGCTTCGTATGCATTGTATCTGGGCAAGTTAATCTGAATTGACCACTTAATCTTTCCTCCCTAAATAAATTACCGTACGTTTGTTTCCTCATTCGTATATTAATTTGTTTATTGAGTTATTCGAATATTCATTTATTTGACCACAAGAAGTAATAGTGCAGTGCCTGGGAGGAGAGGAGGTAGGTAGAAAATTTGAATAATATAAGTTTTCTATCCTTAAGATTCTCAAGACGTATTTTATATTCAATCATAAAATACTATACAGAAAAGAAAAATTTTTTTTAAGAGAAACCATAGTATATTCTTTTCCACTGTTTTCTTTCTTTTTTTTTTTTATCCAGGGAAAGACCATGTTTGTAGATTTATTGGCTGTGGGAGGAATGATCGATTCAACTATGTGGTCATGCAGCTGCAGGTAGGTTACCTTGAAAACCTATCTTTAAATCCTTTGGTTTTGATCAAAGTAAACAATTATAGTGAATGCGATTAAAAGTAACGGCATTCTTACTCCCATGCAAGAATGTTTTATACTATGCAGATCGAACTTTATTTAAACAGACTTGATACAGATTTTCCAAAAATGAAATAACTGTCTTTGTCAGCTATTAGAGTTGACTGTATCTTTACTGATTGTAATCTTTACAGTTTTCGATTTCTTGCATGGATGAGGGGATATAATGTGAATCTTGTCCCTTCCACCCTTCATTACCTTAGGGATTCCTGTTTTCCATTTGCATTCTCCAGTATTGTCTTAGTCTGTTTTGTGCTGCTACAGAATACCCGAGACTGAGTAATGCATAAAGAACAGAGATTTATTTCTTACCATTCTGGAGGTTGGAATATCCAATATCTAAGGACCAACATCTTGCAAGGGCCTTCTTGCTGTATCATTTCATGGTAGAAGTTGGAAGTGCAAAAAAGTATGCACATGAGTAAGGAAGGTGAAGAAGGGGGCTGAGCTCATCCTTTTTATCAGGAACCTACTTCCAAGATAACTACCCCACTTTGACACCAATGTCATTAATCCATTAATGAGTTAAGAACCCTCATGACCTAATTACCTCCTAAATGTCCCACCTTGTAACACTATTGCATTAGGGATTAAGTTTCCAACACATGAACTTTGGGGAAGACATTTAAACCATAGAAGAAGTGTCTGTTCATTTCCTTTGCTCATTTTTTAATTGCATTGTTTTTTGCTTGTTGATGTGTTTAATTTCCTTATAGACTCTAGATGTTAGACTTTTGTTAGATACATAGTTTACAAATATTTTACAATAGTTTACAAATGTTTACTCTGTTGATAGTTTCTTTTGCTGTGCAGAAACTCTTTAGTTTAATTAGGTCCCAATTATCATTTTTGTTTTTGTTGCAATTGCTTTTGGAGACTTCATCATAAAATTTTGCCAGGGCCTATGTTCAGAATGGTATTTCCCAAATTTTCTTCTAGAGTTTTTTATAGTTTTAAGTCTTACATTTAAGTCTTTAATCTATCTTAAGTTGATTTTTATATGTAGCAAAAGGAAAGAGTCTAATTTCAGCCTTCTCCATTTGGGTAGCCAGTTATCCCAGCAGCTTTTATTGAATACAGAGTCCTTTTCCCATTGCTCGTTACTGTGACTTTGTTGAAGATCAGATGGTTGTAGGTGTGCAGCTTTATTTCTGGGTTCTGTAACCTCTTTCAGTGGTCTCTGTGTCTGCTTTTGTACCAGTGCCATGCTGTGTTGGTTACTGTAGCCTTGTAGTACAGTTTGAAATTAGACTTCTCAAAAGAAGACATATATGGAGTAAAAAAGCATATGAAAGAATGTTCAGTACCACTAATCATTAGGGAAATGCAAATCAAAACCACAGTGAGATACCAGCTCACACCAGTCAGAATGACTATTATTAAAAAGTAAGAAAATAACAGATGGTGGTGAGAGTGCGGTGACAAGGAAACACTTATACACTGCTGGTGGGAATATTAATTAGTTCTACTGTGGAAAGCATTCTGGAAATTTCTCAGAGGACTTAAAACAGAACTACCATTCAACCTAGCAATCCCATTACAGGGTACATACCCAAAGGAATAAAATCATTCTACCAAAAAGACACATACACTCACGTGTTCATTACAGCACTATTCACAATAGCAAGCACATGGAATTAACCTTACATGCTCGTCAATGATGAACTGGAGAAAGAAAATGGTCGTGTGCAGTGGCTCATGCCTGTAATCCTAGCACTTTGAGAGGCCGAGGTGGGCGGATCATGAGGTCAGTAGTTCGAGACCAGCCTGACCAACATGGTGAAACCCCATGTCTACTAAAAATACAAAAATTAGCTGGGTGTGGTGGTGTGTGCCTGTAATCCTAGCTACTTTGGAGGCTGAGGCAGGAGAATTGCTTAAACCCAGGAGGCAGAGATTGCGGTGAGCCAAGATCATGCCATTGCACTCCAGCTTGGGCAACAAGCAAGATTCTGTCTCAAAAAAAAAAAAAAGGGAAGAAAAAGAAAACGTGGTACATGTATACCACGGAATACTACACAGCTATAAAAATGAACAACATCATGTCCTTTGTAGCAACATGGATGCATCTGGAGGCCATTATCCTAAGCAAATTAATGCAGGAGTAGAAAATCGAATACTGCATGTTCTTACTTTTAAGTGAAAGCTAAACACTGAGTACATGTGGACACAAAGAGGGGAACGATAGCCTACATTGGGTATGGAGCAAAGGAGGAGGATGAAGGTCGAAAAACTAACTATTGAATACTATGCTCACTACCCATGTAACAGAATCATTTGCACACCAAACCCCAGTGACACACAGTTTACCTGTGTATCAAACCTGCACGTGTACCCACTAACCTACAATAAACACTGAAAAAGAAAAACTATAGCAAGTACCAGTCTTGACTACTTGAAACTTTAAGCAGTAGTTAAGATAGAGGAGATATGCCATTCTTTTTTCTTTTTTTCATCAGTAACATAACTCTGTTTCCTATTCTTTTTTTTTTTTTGAGATGGAGTCTTGTTCTGTCACCCAGGCTGGAGTGTAGTTGTGCAATCTTGGCTCACTGTAACCTCCCCCTCCCAGGTTCAAGTGATACTCCTGCCTCAGCCTCCTGAGTAGCTGGGATTACAGGTGTGCCCCACCATGCCTGGCTAATTTTTTATTTTTAGTAGAGATGGGGTATGATCATGTTGGCCAGGTTGGTCTCAAACTCCTGATCTCAAAGCATTCTGCTTGCCTTGGCCTCCCAAAGTGTTGGGACTATAGACGTGAGCCACTGCAGCCTGTTTCCTGTTCTGTAGATGGCAGTGGAGTTAGGTCGAGAGAGCAGAGGAAAGAAATTCAGAACAGGAATATTGGAATAATGACTACAGTGGGGAGAAGGGAAACCATTTTGTTTTCTCTGACATTATCTCTACCCCTGAAAACAAACACACACACACACACACACACACACACACACACACACCCCATGAACTGTAGTCACCCTCAGAGCTTAGAAGCCATATTTCATCTTGATCTTGCTACCTAGATCTAGAATTCTCAGTATTTCTTTTCATCTCAAGCAAACTTCGTTTTGGGCATCTGTTTTTTGAGACAGAGTCTTGCCCTGTCACCCAGGCTGGAGGTGCGCCCCACCATGCCCAGCTAATTTTTGTATTTTTAGCAGAGATGGGGTTTCACCATGCTGGCCAGGCTGGTCTCAAAATCTTGACCTCAGGCGATCCACCCACCTTGGGCAAAAGTCCTGGGATTATAGATGTGAGCCACCACATCCAGCCTCTGAACGTTTTTAGGTAATCAATTTGGATCCTGCTTTCTCTCATTTTGGCTAGTAATAATATAACTTTTTGTGTGACATTTTATAGTTTTCATCTGGATTCATCATACATCTCTTTTGATCCTCACTATATGCCCATAAGGAGGAGAGAACAAGTTTTATTCTTGTTTGCACGCAGAGAGGCTGAGTGTCAAGGACGTTTGTGATTTGTCTGGTACTAAGTTACTTGATGGGTGTTAAACCTTGGTGGAAGCTTGAAGCCAGTATTCTTTAGGCAGTAATAGGAGAAAACTGTTCATTTTGTCTCAGGTTACTACTGACTGGAGAATTATAGAAGGCAGCTTTTTTCCTTTAGTTTGCAGAGTCTCTCTCAGCCTTAGCATATACTCATTTTCATTCTTGTACTTGCCTAAATCTGACTTTCTGTAAATGGGAAAGCTCCTAGTACTAGGAAACCTAAGAGACTGGTGTATATTAGGCAGTGACGGCCTTTGTGGCCTTTGGCAAGTTTTTATGGACTTGTCTAAGAACCTTTCCATTTGAATTGCATGCTGTATTTTTTTTTCCTTTCATAAGAAAGTTAACCCATTTAAACTCCCATCTGTACAGTTTCTGGTTGACTTGATTTGGGACTAGGCTAAAGCTGGTATAATCACTAGAGCATATTTTCTCTTATTTGACATATGGAAGATAACTACTGGGTCTCCTCCATGTATTCAGCTTCCCACGGATAGTCCTAATTTATTCTAAAAACTATAAATTCATTATTCATAAGTTAAGCTTGTTCTTTTCCTCCTGCTGATTCTATTACATAATATCTGCCTTAAAAATTTTTAAGGAACAACCCTATCTCTGTAGTAGAAATTCTATTTGCCATTAAAATGATTTTTAAAATCTTGCAGAGCTCAAGCAGTTGTACATGTTGTTGTTGTTTTTTATTTCCTCAATTCCCCTTGCAAGACCTTGGCCAGGTCTCATCTAATATTTTGTCACCATTGAAGCTTTACATGAGCATCTTTAGTATAGCCAAAGGGTGATATATTGTGGTAAGCACATCAACTACAGAGGTACAAAACATGTTTTCAAGTTCTATAACCAGTACAACTGTAGATCTAGATTGCCTAATACCTAGTACCTTTTAAAAACTTTCTATTATGGGTAAAATTAAACATGCACAAAGTAGAGAAAATAGTATAATTTGCACCTGTCTACTCATTACCCAGCTTCAACAACTATCAGTGTATGGCTAATCTTGTTTCAGGTAATTTCTCTTTCTCCCATCCCTCCCGAAATTGTAGCTAATTCAAGGCATATTTTATTTATATATACATTTCTAGGAGACCAGAACTCTTTTTTTCTCTTAAGTTAACCACAATACCTAATAATAATTCCTTAGTAATAGCATAAATATCAAACCAGTCTTCAGATTTCCTTGATTGTCCATCTCTTTAGTAACTTTTTTTTTTTTTTTAACATTTGGTTTATTTGAATTGGGCTCCAAATAGGGTTCACACATTGCTTATCTGTTAAGCCTCTTTTAATCTATTGGCTCTCCCTTTGTGTTTTATTTTCTTGCAATTTTCTTTTTGTTGTGTTTATTGTTATTGATAAAAATGGAGGAATTTGATATGTACAAATTACCATATTCTGGATTTTGTTGGTTTTTTCCCTGTCGTCTTTAATATGTATTTCTGTCACCTATATTTTCTATAAATTGATGATGATATAAGATTCCAGTTTTGTTTTACTTTGTCAGGATACTTTAGAGGTGAGTTGTATGCTTCCTCTTGCATCACATCAGGAGGCAGTATCTGGTTGTCTCCCTTTTAGTGAGGTTAAGATTGGTCAGTGGGTGCAGGCGTTGTCAGCCTGGTCCATCCATTTTAAAGTTACCAGTGGTTTTTCTCCTAATGGTTTTATCACCCATTTGTAATCATCATCCATTATTTTAATGGGGGTTGCAAATATAGTGTTCTATCATCTTTTTCCTTCTTTTATTAGCTAGAATTCTTCTTTAAAAGCCCTGCACTCACTATTAGGTTGTCATCAAGTATATTTTATATAGGAAAGCTAGGACTACAACTTGAATATTTTATCAGCTTTTAGAATAATGAATTGGTTCTCTAATATAAACATACAATAAATATATAACTATATAATAAATATATAACTATATAATAAATCCATAAATTCATGGATTTAACATGTTTGATGTATTTCAATTATTACAGTTTTCTTTTTTTTGAGACAGAATCTCACTCTGTCGCTCAGGCTGGAGGCTGGAGTGCAATGGTATTATCTTGGCTCACTGCAACCTCCACATAGTGGGTTCAAGGAATTCTCCTGCCTCAGCCTCCCAAGTAGCTGGGATTACAGGCGTACACCACCATACCTGGCTAATTTTTGTATTTTTGGTAGAGATGAGGTTTCTCTATGTTGGCCAGGCTAGTCTTGAACTTTTAGCCTCAAGTGATTCACCCACCTTGGCCTCCCAAAGTGTCGGGACTACAGGCGTGAGCCACTGTGCCTGGCCTCCAGTTTTTTAAATATTAAAACTGTCTCATCTTTTGCTACAAAGGCCTCCCTTAAGTTGGATCTGGATTCATTTTGTTAGGACTAGGCTGCAGCAGTCTTTGATAGCATTATTATTTTTTGGTGCAACACTATGTACCAGGCTCATTCTGTATGTTTTATACTCCAGATCTGAAATCACCCATTCATTTCTCCATTAAACCTTGGTTCCTTATAATGGGAAATGATGTTTAGTGACCAAAGTCTAGATGATGTGGGTGTCTGTTGAAATTGGGTTGGTCATTTTTAATTCTTTTCAAGTGGATGGATTTAAGAAATACATTTAAAAAGAATGAGAAAGTATGCCATGGTTCATATTGATGTGACGAGGCCTTGTCCTGGCTGGAGCACAGTGGTGGCCTCTACCTCCTGGGATCAAGTGACCCTCTCACCTCACCTTCCTGAGTAGCTGTGACTACAAGTGTGTGCCACCATGCCCAGCTAGTTTTTTTATACTTTGTATAGATGAGGTCTCAGTATGTTGCCCAGGCTGGTCTTGAACTTCTGGGGTCAAGTGATCCTCCTGCCTTGGATTCCCGAAGTGTTGGGATTATAGATGTGAGCCACCACACTGGGCCTACACTTTTTAATGTATATAGATGAAATTGTATGATTAGAATTTACATGAAAATAATTCAGTATGTGTGGGTGGGAGGGGAGAGGATATGGATGGGGAGGTGAATGGTAGATGAAACAAGATTGGTCATGAATTGATAATTGTTAATTCTGGGTGACTAGTAGATACATGAAGGTTCATTATATTATTTTGTCTCCTTTTGAGTATGTTTCATATCTTCAATTTAGAAACTCATTTGCATTTTTATTGAGATCTTATAAATTTATAGAGAAATGAGCTTCTTTTATTCATTCCACATTACTATATATATTATTCTTCCTTTTTTAAACAAACTATGGTAACTTGTGACATATTTTATTAAAAAATTTTTAACTTTCAGTTTGAGGATATATGTGAAGGTTTGTTATCTAGATAAACATGTGTCATGGGGTTTTTTTGTACATAATATTATGTCACCCCGGTATTAAGCTCAGTACCCAATAGTTATCTTTTCTGCTATTCTCCCTCCTTCCACCCTCCCCCTCCAGTAGACACCAGTGTTTGATGTTTCTTCTTTGTGTTCCTAAGTTCTTGATTCTTCATTGTTTGATTGACAGTCAGTAAGATGTCTGTACCATTATTTGTGTAACTATTCATTTATTGATGTACTTATAATAGTACCCCCTTATCTGAGGAGATACTTTTTAAGGCTCCAAGTGGATGCCTAAAACCACAGATCATACTGAACCCTGGACATCTGGTAACTGATTGGGCCACTAAGTGATTGATGGGCAGATAACAACATGTGGATATGCTGGACTAAAGGGATGATTCGCGTCCTGGGCCTGATGGAGCAGGATAGTGTGAGATTTCATCACACTACTCAGAATGGCCTGTAATGTAAAACTTATTAACTGTTTATTTCTGGCATTTTCCATTTAATATTTTCAGACCATGGTTGACTGTGGGTAACTGGAACCAGTAAAGTAAAACCATGGATAAAGTAAAACCATGTATAACCATAGATTGTTTATAATTTTTCTGTGTAACAAATAATAATTCATTGGTAGTATTTACTTTAAAGTATAATTTAGTGGGTACTTGCATGTTTTTACCATGTTAGTAACACTTTACCCCATATTCTTATCAGTCTCATATTTACCTTCTCTGATTTTATGAGTTGATATGTTAGGCTTATATTTTAAAATATTTAAATCTTTTAAAGTATTACTAATGTCATAAATCAAATTTGATTTCCTTTTGAAAGTTGTTGTGGTGAAAGCTGTTTACAAATAAAGTTTCAATACTATCTTAGGTATATTTTCAGCAATCAAAATTTGGATTTTTGAAGAAAAAAACTATTGGAATACTAATAAAAGTTATTAGGTACTCTCACATGGTTATACAATTCACTGTTGTAGATGGCCACTTATTTTACATTTGCTAGGAGTGTGGGGAACAACAAATTTTCTCACCATTAAAAATGATAACTAAGATAAATCCCAACTAATTTATATTATGAGAAAGCTGCATTTAAAAAAGAAGATATGAAATATGAAAGGATCCTGACTTTACTGCAACTTTTAAACTGTTAGGTTACTTGAGGAGTACTTTGTATTTTATTTTGAATGATATTAATCTAAAAATTTATTACTTTTCAAAAGTGAATCAGTTATCTTTAGATGAAGTAATGGTATTAGAGGCATGGTAACCCTAAACATATATTATAAAATTTGGAGAATAGAGAGATTGGGATATTTCCAATATCCCTTGTGATCGGAGAGCCAGTCTTTTCTTTGGGAGGTAGTACTGCAAGGCCATGGTCCTGCTCTTTTCTGCTCTCCTTTTCAGGCTACTGGTTTGTTGCCTAAGCAACAAGGAACTTTGGTGGAGCAGCATCACGAAAAAGCCTTTAGAAAAGCTCTGTGAAAGAGGACTGTAAAAGAACACTTTAAAGTCAGACAGAGTTAGATTTGAAAAACAGCTTTACATTAACAGGTTAACATTATTTAACCTCTTTCAGTCTCAGTTTTCTTACCTGTAAAACAGGCACAGGAACAACTTCTATTTAGGGTACTGTGAGGCATCAATGCAATCATCAATGGCAGAGGCTGGATGTATTCATTGCTTTTTTATACTTCTACAAGTAAATTAAATTTTTGTCATATGTTTGGTCATAATAACAATAGTTAGCATTTGTTGAGTACCTATTGTGTACCAAAGTATTCTAAAAACTTTATATGGGCCCAGGCACCGTGGCTAACACCTGCAATTTCAGCTTGTCAGGAGGCCGAGATGGGAGAATCACTTGAGGCAAGGAGTTTGAGACCAGCCTGGTCAACATAGTGAGACTCCATCTCTATTTAAAAAAATTAAAAACACGCAAAAAAACTTTACATAGATCTTGTTTAATCCTCACAGAGCTCTGTGAGGTAGATTTTATTAGCTTGTTTTTATGAGGAAACTGATTCAGGAAAGTTAAGTAGCTTGTATGAGAATATATATTAGGCAGTAATGAGGAATTACTGCCGTGGTGTGTGTGTGTGTGTGTGTGTGTGTGTGTGTGTGCGCGCGCGCGCGCGCGCATTATATATATTTGATCACATATTTTAAATAAATAAATACAAATTTAGTGTATATTAATTGCTTATTTGATTACTTACATTTTAAATAATCAAGACTTTTGTTATGACATCAGTGATAAAGGGAAACATGATGAATCAGAAACATGATATGCTAAAAACCTGGTTATTCTAAAACTTGTCTGAAACATTCATATGATTAAGACATCTGTTGAGTGAGAGGATCATAATTTGAGTAAAATTATTGCTGTTGACTGGGCGTGGTAGTTCATACCTGTAATCCCAGTAGTTTGAGAGGCCAAGGTGGGTGGATCACGTGAAGTCGGGAGTTTGAGACCAGCCTGACCAACGTGGTGAAACCCCGTCTCTACTAAAAATACAAAAAGTTGCTGGGCATGGGGGCGCACACCTGTAATCCCAGCTACTCAGGAGGCTGAGGCAGGAGTATCACTTGAACCTAGGAGACAGAGGTTGCAGTGAGCTGAGATTGCGCCATTGCATTTCAGCCAAGGCAATAGGAGCAAAACTCCATCTCAAAAAAAGAAAAAAAAAATTATTGCTGTTTTACTGAAAACCTTTTTCAATGGCAAGTGAGCGATTTCCCAGTCTTCTCTTACAACATATTTTTAGTACTGTATTTGAAAGTGTTTGTTTGATTTCCACAGGGTCGTAATCTGGCAGATCTTCGCCGTAGTCAGTCCCGAGGCACATTCACCATCAGTACTACTCTCCGGCTGGGTAGACAGATTTTGGAGTCTATAGAAAGCATTCATTCTGTGGGTTTCTTGCACCGAGACATCAAACCGGTAGGGGCCTTTTCTATCCAGAGCACATAATGAGTTTGATGCTTTTAATATTATGATGGGACACAATAAATTACAAATGTAGCTTTGTGTATTTGCTGTGGTTAGACACAAGGTAATATTTTCATTTCTATAGTAACACCTGGAAGCAAAAATACAACTTACCTCTTAATTTTTTAAGTGATTATTACAAACTACAGCTTGTTTTCAGGAATTTTTCTCATACAATGAAAATAAAAAATGAGACTGGGGTGGTAACACATGCCCATAACCCCAGCTACTCAGGCAGCTGAAGCAGGATGATTTCTCGAGTGCAGGAGATGGAGGCTAGAGTGAGTTATGATCCCTCCTGTGTATAGCCACTGCACTCTAGCCTGGGCAGCATAGTGAGACCCTGTCTCTTAAAAAAGCTTTATGTTTGACTATTATTATGTGTGCTAACTTGCCAGTTACTCAGCCTTATGCCTAAATTGGCATTATTCCCTGGTTTCTTTTATATATATATATATATATATATATGTTAAAAAATTATATATGTTGCTTTCAGTTGTTCATACTGTGTTCTTGAAGTCAAAAGTTCTGTTTATAAGAAATCATCCGCTGTGAAAGACCTTCTTTTTCTCCTGAGTGCTACTATGGAAATATAGTTGGGTTTTTATTTGCTAATCTGTTTTTCTTAGAAATAGTCATTTTCATAACTGTGAAATAGGCTTTTCTGTCCTTTTCAGTGTTTAATCAAACACTGAAACATTCATTAGGTGAAATGACCCATTTCTGATATACTGTATTTACTATAAATTTATCATATGTTGGTATAGTTGAAAAGTATAACCATCTGTTGTTATATGACTTCTAAAATTAGTTTACATGAAAATGCTAACTAAATTTGATATTGCAGAGTCAGTCTATTTCTATGCATTGTTATTTGAGAACCATGGTGATTGGAAGAGTTTCTGTTTTTTATCAGAAAGCTCTCTAAGTAGAATAATTTTTTAAAAAAAATGACAATTTTGGTGACAATTTTGCTTTTACCTCAACAAGTCCTCTTACTTACATACTTATGTTTGCATTTGTGGTCATTTAATATTACATTGATTTTCATTAGGGAAAGAATACAAAGTATATTTTTGTTGTCTGTTTTGAAATGTTTCTATAAATTGTATTTTAATTTTGGACTTAGTGAAATTCAGCTTTTTGATGCTTATAGGAAATTCTTTAAAATTTCTGTTTTTTAAGTAGGATTTGGGTTGTCATTTAGGCATTAACTTAGACTAGAATTTCAAGAACTTAGAGTTCCAAGTCTAGTTAATGTTGTTGTGTGTGTAACCTTCGTCACTTACATTCTTTTTTGTTCAAAGTTTACCTGATATTAAGCATTAATAGAACCCAAAATGAAATCATATTTTAATACCTACTAAATGTCATTGACTATAATAGTATATTTGGAACGTGTGTTATATAGAGCTTAACTAGAAGAAGACTTAAAATGTAGGAATAGTAAAATGTAAAGACTAAGTATCATAAGAATGTGTATATTTTCCTTCTTTATTTTTCTAGTCGAACTTCGCTATGGGTCGCTTTCCTAGTACATGTAGGAAATGTTACATGCTTGATTTTGGCTTGGCTCGACAATTTACCAATTCCTGTGGTGACGTCAGACCAGTAAGAATTTTCGTATTATTATCAAATATTTGATAATTACCCTGGTATTTATAGTATCCCACTTTTAAAATAATGCTAATTATGTATCCTAATGAATATTGTCTAAGAAGTGCCATATACATTTAATGATTAACTTATAGAATGACAATAAATTTTATTATTGAAATTTGTGGCTTTAAAAGATGTACATTTAGAGTGGTCTTTTTTTTTTCTTTCTTTTTCTTTTCCCCATTTATTTTACTTCATTTTAGGTTTTGGGGTACATGTGAAGAACATGCAAGATTGTTGCATAGGTACACACGTGGCAATGTGATTTGCTGCCTTCCTCCCCATCACCTACATCTGGCATCTCTCCCCTTGCTATCTTTCCCCAGCTCCCCACCCCCCACAATCCCTCCCCTATTTCCCCCCAACTGACCCCAGTGTGTAGTGCTCCCCTCCCTGTGTCCATGTGTTCTCATTGTT